GTGTGTGTGTGTGTGTGTGTGTGTGTTCTTTCAAAAGTTTGTTTTGTTGGCCCAAAGTTTTGGTCAAGATCAAGTTAAAAAGGCATGGTGCCTACCCTTTGCTTATTTCACCTGCTTGGGTAAATCTGTCTTGCATTTTATTATTTGAGACTTCGTTTTTTAAAAAGAAGTTAAGTTTTACCAACAGCCATTTGCTGTAGGAGCTTGTGATTTCTCGTCAAGTGTTGGGACAACCAGGATGAATGAGTCCCTATGATTAGTTGTTTTCCATAGGAGTAGAAAGACCCATCTAGAGTGTTTTCATGTTAACAAGGGGAAAAATGATTATTTTTTTTCACCAAAGCTTTTGGTCTTCTTAAGCAAAAGCAATAGGTAATTATGAAATATTCTATCTGTAATTTTGTAGGCCCTGGTTATTTGCTAGATTAAGAGCACTATTAATCTTTACTTTCCTTATTGACTGACCACATTTTAGTTTAAATGCTACTTAGCCATTACAGACCTAGTTACCAGGAAGAATACAACACAGAGTGAAATAACTTTTTAGAAAATTAATGGAATAGGCAAACTGATTGCCCTCTTGTGTTAATTGTTCGCATCATTAGTGATGCAAGTTTCAGGCGTTTGTTATGTTATTCTGCTAACTCCCAAGGTTGTGTCTCAAAACATTCTTTCCTTCCTGATTATTCTCCTCTCTCTGTGGAGCTGACAGTCAGGCCTTGACTGTCTGCACGTGAGGATATCTCACTCCAAAGCAAGAGGCCCGCAGAACATGAGCACGATAAAGAAGGGCCAGAATAGCCTTTCTTTTCCAAAACGGACTTTGGCACTCACTCACATTACACTCAGTTCACCAAAACCAAGCCCCAGGTGTGCACAAGGCACAGTTTTTGTCCTCAAAGAATTGATGATATACTTAAGAATGTTTGAGAATGTTAACCACGCCAATCTCCTTGACACACGTGCCATAGACAAGCTCCTCCGTCACACGGGGGCACAGTAGGCTGCTTCTCTAGCCTCTCGCAAGTTAAGCTGATAAAAGGCATCAATGCTGGTGAGACTTAGAATCAATTACCAGGAAAGAATATTAAAAATCTTATTAATTATTCTCCTGTTTACATTATACTTAAATCAGTTAGCTGCCTTATTTTGACCTTCTGCTCCAAAAGAGCCATTCTAATGAACTTGGACCCCAGGGTCCACGTGTGTGGTTACTCATTAAATCTTTATCTCTTATAAACTCTCTTGACTTAAGACTTTGAGGAGGCTGGAACTCTATCACACAGCCCTGATTCAGTTCCTGGGCTATTTCACATCGGGCAGCTGAGTTCCTACTTACCGAATCATGCTGATATCCCTCCAGTTTTGGCAAAAGATTTCGCTTTAAATTTGGCTTTCCATATTGAAGCATAAATAAAAAGATACTTAACTAGTTCACTGATTTTGCTTGCTGTGGAAACATACATATCGTTTGACCTTTGGAACACTAGCAGTATTGTATTATCACTGCAAGTTGGTCATTAGGGGCTCCCTAAAGAAGAATTCAAGTTAGAAACAAATTCGGAGCAATTATTGATTTAACAGTTCTGCAAATGTTTTTGCACATAGATACAGCATGAAAAAGACTCCCAGTGATAAGCAGTCAAACATTCACATTGATGATAACAGCTAATGTTGTTGAGTTTTCACTGTTGCAAAAGCTTCATGTGTGCTAATCATTTAATCCTCACGTTTGCCCTATGGGGTAAGTCCTATTCTTAGCCTCGCCTGATGATGAGAGAACTGAGATGCAGAGCGGCGAAGTCTCTTCCTCCAGGTCACACAGTGAGGACGTGGTGGCTGGCCTTTCCTGAGCCTCGTGCCTGCTCATGACTCTTTCTCCCCGACCCGCTGTTGCCCCCAGTGTGAAGACTCCTGGAGCTGGTCTACATGCACCCTGCCCAGGCTCCAGCTCATATCTGGCCATTCCCTCACGCGCATTTCTGTTCCAGCCACACTAAACTCACTTCCGTCTCTTGACTATGCCTGGGAAAGGCTCCCTTTGGAGGGCCTGTTCACAGACTGTTCTAGTAACACCTATGGCCTGATGACAGCTGCCTCAACCCCTGCCCTGTTGGCTTTTGCTTGGCTAACCTCTCTTCATCTTTCAGTCCTCAGCTTGGGGGCACTTCATCCAGGAGGCCTTCCCTCACCCTCAGGTCCTTGCGAAGTGCCACCCTTCTGTGCTCCTCAGAGCACCCTTGCTTCCTTGTCCTGGGACTTTGTAGTCACACCTGCCTGCTTTCTAGATCCCTCTTCAGGTGACGTTGACCCATACAGGTAGGGGTCATGGCTAACCTGTTCATTCTTGTCCTCTCAGCACCCATCACACTGTGTGGTAAACAGGAGGCACTTAATAAGTGTTTGGGGAAGGAGCAGTGACTCGGTAATCACAATCCAAAGTAACAACAGCAAACCTCAGGGATCTGCACCCCAAGGCAGTATTAGAGTTTGCAGCCACAGAGCTGGGTGGCTGTTGCTCCACATTCCCTGGTGGAGGGTGTGCTCTTGCTTTGAAGTAGTAGCTTCAGCATCCTGCACGGGTCTGTCGGATTCAGGCTTCAGCTCTTCAGGTGTGCTGGCTCAGCCTATTCCCTCTTTTTGTTGTCGTGCCTCCAGGAAAGGCCTCCATCACCTCTCTTGCAGGTCTGGAATACACAGGGAGGGCATAAGAAGCTACCTGACGAAGGACCCTTCCTGGGTTTGAGAAGGCTGAGAGCAGGGCCTCTCTGATCATCCTGGCTTCACATTCCCAGGGCAGTCTTCACCCACCAGGAGCAGCAGCCACAGACAGAGGAGCCCCAAGCCATTGGCATCTCAGAGAATGCTGTTCTGGGGTCAGGGCCAGCTACAGACGTAATGGACAACCTCTCCCTTCAATGGCAGCTCCTCACCCCCTGTAATAAAAAAAGTCCTTCCTGGGGCCGGTCCCATGGCCATGTGGTTAAAGTTCTGTGTACTCCACTTCGGCAGCCCAGGCTCGCAGGTTTGGATCCCTGATGCGGACCTACTCCACTCATCAGCTGTGCTGTGGAGGCATCCCACATAGAAAATAGAGGAAGATTGGCATGGATGTTAGCTCAGGGTGAATCTTTCTCACCAAAAAAAAGTCCCTCTTCCCTCTGGTTCCCCAGGTGGCCCCGTGCAGTAGCAGCTTGTGCTCTCCTGGGCCCCTCTCCCCAGCCACTGCCGGGTGACATATCTGTCATACTTGGGAGTCTGGGAGAGACCACTAGAGCAGCTCCTTGCACTTCTTCAGTGAAGCTGGGAAGAAGCCTGCCAGCTCTGAGAGTCCACAACACGTCAGAAATAGGACCCTTCCCTGGCAAGCCCACAGAGGTGGCATTTTTTGACTCTCCCCAGGCACAACGACAAAATCAGTTCAGTGTTGTCTGTGACAGTCTGAGAAATCCACACAAAGGCGCTTTTCCTCTTCCATAACGTTCCAGTTCCCTTTCCATTTTAAGTTTACACATGTAATTAGTTATAACTGTAACTGATCCTAAACACACACTGGGGAAAAAGTACACAGAAGTTCAGGACCTAGGTAAAAGTGAGAATTTTACTGATCTCCTTTGGGGTCAGTTAGCACCTAAAATCATTCGTCTAAGTCTTTTGGTTCCCAGCTGTGATTTGGCTATACTCTAGGATGTCTCTGGGTGTCTCAGGGACTCTAGCCAAATTTTCAGAACAGTTGACTTAAAAACATACGCCACGTAACGTTTTTATGAGGAGAGAGGGAGATGAAGGAAGATGAAGTGTTGAAATGGTGGCATAATTATAAAATAATCAAGGGTTATTGATTAAGTAGCCCCTAGGTTATTTGATTAATTAATTTTAAAGCATTTATTAAGTTTGTTCCAAGTGTAAGAAACTGTATGGGTTCAGGAGTGTAGACACATCCCCTCTTGATGGAATCTTGCCCTGATGGCTTTCCTCTACCACCTTCTGTTGGAGCTTAAACTCTCCAAGACGGGACCCTGTTCTCTTCTTGATTTTATTCTCCGTGTATAGCATACACCAGGCCTAAAATAAATGTTTATTGAATAAATTACATTGTCACTCCCTTCAATAAATTTGCAGTCTGATTAAATTCCAGTAAGGACTAACAATGGATTTCTTTTAATAAGGTTTTCTTCTTTTTCAGAAATTCCTTGGGTTCTGTTTGAAAAATCTTCTCCTTATTATTTTCCCAGCAGATAGTTCTTCTGAATTCCTGACCTACCTGCCTGTTAACAGCTACTTAACAGTGTAGCAGACATCAGTGTGATATTTCAGCCTTTCATGAGAATTGTAAAGATGTAGGTTAATTGTCCATTTAACCAACTTTTTTTTAATGAAGATTTTGTGAAAGAATAAAGTTCACATAGGCTGCAGCTTGACAAAAGCTGAATGTTCTTGCTGTGAATGTTTGGATCCAACAGAAAACAGATACTTGATAATTTGAATCGAGAGGTTTTAATTACGCCTGTCAATGCACATTGGTCTTACTTTTCATGCTAGTTTTGCAGTCCCTGACAGAGATAAAATGGTCTGTTCTCTAGATCATCCTTATGTCTAGATTGACCATTATAAATGTCAGTGACTATCGACAGATCGAAATAAACCCAGGAAATGTAGAGGGTCCACCAGCAGTCGGATCTGCTGCCTTCATAAAGAGATCAGGTGACCCTTTCAGGGAGGAACTTTCTAATGCTCATTTCAGTCCCTCGAGGTAAAACGTGCAGCCACTATTCAGAGAGAACTAATGTGAGTAAATGGTGTATCTTGGAGGCAAACGTTCTCCCTGAGGCTGCGCGTTTCTTTGAGAAGATCATGGAAGTCAACAGTACAATATGACTATTCACGTTTTCATTTTACTCTCAACTTTTCAGGAGCATGTCCTGCACAGAGAGCAAGATCGAGCTGCATTTCACCCAGCAGTGGTTTCAATCTGTGCTGATTGTAATTTTTATCCGTAGGTTTGAAGACATACCTGATAGCGGGTCAGAGAGCGAAGGAGTCTCGTTGCAGCTGTTCAGAGGCCTTGCTTTCTGGCTTTGAGGTCATTGACGGCTCACGGCTGTCCTCAGGCCCTAGGGGACAGGGGACAGCATCGCCAGGGAGTGTCAGTGACTTGGCGCAGACTGTCAAAACCTTTGATAACCTTAAGGTTAGTTTTTTTTTCCTACTTCTAAAACTTTATATTAATTCTACAGTAGAATGTGTGAAATAATAAGCAGCCTTCGGGTCTGTGGCAGATGACTTGGAATGCCCTTCAATTTGGTTTTTACAATTTTTTTTAATTAAGTATAAAGTTAGCAGCATTTTGCATTTTTAGTATCTTTGCTTTTTTAACATATTATGCACGTCCAGTTTCTTTCTACACTGCATAAAGATGCTTCTCACTTGAGTTATTTCTTTCTTTTTCTGCGACCTATGATGTCTTTTGAGATTTGTAAAAGCTAATGATAAATGATAGTAAAGGTGAGTCTCCTCGCATCTTGCGTGGAGAGCTGGTTGTATCATACTTCAGAGACCACTTTCTCAAGTGCTCTGACATCTCTTGAAATCCAGTGTTTTATGATTATTTTAAATTTGTTGGTGTGGCTGAATCTTGTGACGTAGCTTACTGAAAGAGTGCGGGCTTGCCAAGAACACTGTAGTATTTCATTATTGGAACAGAGCTCTCCTGGCGGCTGTCTAGAAATACCCAGTGCTCTCATAATAAACTACCAAGGAGTTATCGTGATGCACCTTGGGCGTATGAAATCTTGCTCGTTTATGAGCTGTTCATCAATGTTCACATTTAATCTAGTTCCCGCACTGGTACCTCTTTTTATTTTTACAGTTTAAATATTTGCCACTTTCTTTTTTTTGAGAGAGAGAGAGGCAGTTATAACAGGTCCACTTCACTATTTTGTACTCAACACAAAGATATATTGGTCAGGATCATGGCCTCTCATTATAGCTTTAATCCAGCATGTTCCTGCTTATCTACATTCATTGGTATTTTGGGCCAGATAACTCTCTGTGCTGGGGCCTGTCGTGTGCACTGCGAGATTTCCAGTAGCATCCCTGGCCTCTACTCACCAAATGCCAGTAGTGCCCCTTCCTTCCATTGTGACAATCAAGAATGTCCCCAGACATTGCCCAATGTCCCCTGAGGGTAAAATCACCCCCATTTGAGAACCCACGGGGCAGGGTGTGAAACCCTGAGCCCCCCCACTCTCTGGCACCTGCGTAACAGGGAACATATCTGAAATTTCCTGAACGCCTGTGTGCTTTCCAGACAGCCTCTTTGCTCGGGCGGATGTTCTGCAGCAGCAGCAGGAGGAGCTCTGGGCTGCAGGCCGTCCCTGAGCGCGGGCAGGGAGGACTGTGTGGGGAGGCGTACAGAACGTGCTTCCCAACACGGTTTCCTCCCAGCTTCAAACTGAGCTGCATTTAAGGAGAGAAATAGAGCTCAAAGCCAAAAACAAATGACTTGTTAGGTTTGTCTGCCATTTTAGATCGTGTTTGTGTGTGTGTCTGTCCATTAGGGAGTGTAGTTGCTGACTTCACCCTATCACGTACTTGCAATTTTAGTGACAGCGATTCTGTGCTAAATTGCCCTAAGAAGGTTTTCTCTCACCCCGAAAGAACATTTCTTGTTCTAGTTATATGTGAACATATTTATATATTTTAAAAATCTGGATGGATAAAAACTATTTAGCGTATTCTGTTGCCATTTATAAATTTTCCAAATAATCATTGAACATTTTCTGAAAATCTTGTGATCTATTTCATTGACTGTGTGTGCCAAAAGGAATTTGAGCAACAAAAGAAAAGGATCTTTGTGTCCCTTCCACGAGGGAAAGATGAGTTGAATCTTGAAGCATAATTTCTGGGCTATTTCCATGGTGTTGGAGGGGATAGTAGGACAACTGAGATGAGGGCTGCCCAGAAAGTAGAATTCCTTGGACTCACAGTTAGAGTGGAAGGAGTGTGAAGAGATAGAAGACCAGGTCTCCACTCCAGGCTTTGCCACTGTGGGGAGGTCCTTCTCTGCTTCTCTCCTCATCCTGTGGGATGAGGATCAGGTGAAAGCCTTGTAAACCATAAGCACTGGGTAACCAAGTGAATTGTTGTGAACTGTCATGCTAAACTTGAAAGGCAGAACACTGAGGTCTGCTTAAGGGTTGCATAGACCATAATCTGACGTATAAGGCCTTCCCTCAAGTAAGAGCTGTTGAACAATAGAAATGGAAAACACCAGTTGCTTCCTCATAGGTTCTATAAACGTGACCGTGCCTCACATATGTGTCACTGGTTTGTTGCCTTATATTGTCTGAGCTACACGTAGCCTTTCAAATTAGCTGGAATCACAGACTAGCTCCTCCTAATTCGTTACCAGGGTCTGTTGACTCTTCCTGTCAACAGGCTTCTTCTCCTTTGTTGCTGCTGTCACCTCATCCAGCAAGAGTTAGCTCCCATGGGGATTTGTCACTGACCCCACACTTCCCTCCTCCCCAGTGTAATGCAGTGATTCCCAAAGTGTGATCCCTCGAGCAGTAGTTTCTCAGATTGGAAATAGGAGTCAAGTGCAGAAAAAGGGTTCTGTGGTCAAGTAAATTTAGAAAGTTCTGGGTCCAACAGCCTTGCAAGGGTTTCTTTGATGTAGGACCTCTCAGAGCCTTTAGTATGCTACTCTGCCTCACTGGGTCTCTGGAGAGGGATGTGGTATATAGCGTTCTCAGGCCTTTTTGACCACAGATTTCTTTTTTCAAGGTGCATTTTTGGGGGAATGTTGGTCTAGTGGAAGGAGTTTAATGCAAGAACCAAGAAATTAGAGAAAAGATGTCCCGTAAATATTCCTAAGTGAGTACATGTGTGTCTTGGTCTTGTTCCTTTCAGCTGCAATGCTCGTTGCTTCCCTTTTCCTATGAACTCCTCTCTTCCTTTCACGGTTCAGCTTTGTTATAGTTTTCCCTGGCTCCTCCAGCTAATGAGGCTGTCTCTCCCATCTAAATTCTTAGTTCATTTAGTCTGTACCATTTGGCTGTAACATACACAGTCTTCACTATTTACTTATGTTTCTTACGTACTTTCTTGTGTTCTTTGAATGCAGGGCCCATGTGTTGAATAACTTATATTTTCCCAAAGTGTCCAGTATGGTGCCTGTCATGTAATAGACAATTACAACTTTCTTTTGGCTTAACTTTTCAATTCTTTAATGACACGCAGAGAGCTCTAACTCTGCAGAGCTAGACTAAGAAGGACTGGACTCAGAAGTCTGGGCAGAACTAAAAAGGACCAAAGTAATGTCTGTGAAGCATTGTTGTCCGCTCCTAGCACACATGTCCTGTGTGTCTGTAAGTTACCTCCCGGTTCATAGCTGGAGAATTCTTACCTAATATTTCATAAAATTGTCTGAGTACTATGATGACTTATCAAGAAGCAGTAATGATGTCAAAGGACAGGGGCTTTGGCCCTGAGGCCGTAGCTCAGGAGGAGTCCTTCCCACACCCAAGCCTTGGCTTCTTAAGTGACTGGCAGCGAGAGTTGCTCAATAGGAATGCCCTGGCATTGCATAGCGCAGGGAGTGGGGTACTGCCAGCACCATGGCACTCAGCTCTCTGAACCTGAGCTTGCAAAGCTACCTCTAGAGTTTGGGGTGGGGGCAGGAGGAGTCAAGAAGGGAGTCAGGGAATGAGCAGTTAGAGACAAGGACCCTACATGTCAGTGTCAGGGAAAGCAGCTCTAGTGCCATGGGAAGGGCGGAACTTAAGATCGAGGATCCTTGGCTTTGAGACTGAACAAGTCACTTAATTTCTCTAGGCCACAGCAAAATGGTGATGGCGAGGCGGTCTCTCAGGGTTGTTGTGAAGGTTAACTGAGGTAATGCCCGCTAACGCAGGGCTTGGAGCAGAAGCTCAGTTCACACCAGGACGTGCATTCATTTGCTCTGTGGGGAGCAGTGGACACTGACCACAGTTGGAATAAAGAAGGACAGGAGGAGGCAGAGATGCTGTTTAGATTCACCCACAAGGAGCCAATGAATCTCTCGGGAAAGTCTTGCCTTCTCTGTTCTGACTTAAGGGAAGTTCTTCAGTTTTGCAGCTGACCGTTGCTGTAGGGGATATAACCACATCACAAATGTGACATGGGAGCATGGGCACCCTGGCCTGTTTAGTGTGACCTCAGCTCTGCAGTGCGTGTCTGCTGCTCATTTATCATGAATGCTGTGGGTGATGGACTCCATATGCCAATAAAAATAGCTGGTCTAACGTCTTCTTGAAGAACAAAGAAAATGAAAACCAAAGATTTCAAAGATTGTGGTTTTTTTATCACATCGGTCCTAGTCAGTGAACCATGTGAGCTGTGAAAGCATCTTAGTTCACCCCTGAAAGACCTCACTGGAAATGCACCTGCTTGGCCAGTCTTTGTGAGTTTACCTTAATCTGTGATTCAGAGCCGGGGGCTGTGCGCTCACGGGCGTTTCTACATGTGCAGTTGGTAATGAGGCTAATGAGGTGGATTTACCCACATGGGGCCATTCAGAGAGGACCTGTCTGGTTTTCAAAAGGGTTTTATACTTTCCCTTTGAGGTCACCAGCCCTGGGGACCCTCCTGTGACAGTTGCCATGACTTTTTTAATGACTCTAAATAAATGATCACTTCTTTATCTCCTTGTTATTTGTATATAAAATCATGAATAGGCTCAGTTGGCTCAGTTTGAGGAAGAGAGGGCCTTTTAGTTCATTACAGAAATAGAAAAGGTAATAGATTTCTCTCTCTATATATATATATATGTAGCTTAGACATTAAATATTTATTATAAATGGTGGTCTGAATAGTGGTAATGGTTGCAAAATTCTGTAAATATACTAAAAGCTCTCAAATTATACACTTGAGATGGGTGAATTGCATAGTATGTGAATGATTTCTCAATAAATGTCACAAAAAGAAGTAAATAGTAGTGCGAATGCTGGCTCTGAAATATGGATGTAAAATAAGTTTTTTTAAAAAAGACTTTTCAAGTTTTATCCATCTTTTCAGCCATGTGTGTTTCCTTCAGTTAGGAGAAAGCACATCACGTAGAAGCTGATAACTCTCCCTTGAGGATTCCAGCTGCTAGAGGTAGGAGGGATGGGGGAAGAGGGGACCGCTGTGAGAAGAGGGCAGTAATAATTGCTGCAGGCAAGTCCATTGATGAATTCTAGATAGTGGGTAAAAGTTCAAGGAGAAACAGGATATTTCTGTAGCCTCCAAGCATCTCCCCCTAGATATTTTTTCGTTATAAAGTGGGCAATAGTAACTGGACAGTGGGAAACCCGGTAGGTGCCACCTCACCAGGTGATGAAGATAGTGTCACAACAAATAAAACTGGCAGGGTCATGTAGCCCCTGATGGGATGTGCTGAGAGGGCACATCCCCTCTGGGATTCTTCCCCCAAATCTGAAACCTCAGTCGACTTGTGAGAAAACATCAGACAAATCCAGATTCAAGAACGGTATTCAAAATACCTGACCAGGACCCTTCAAAAGTGGCAAGGTCCGTGAAGACAAGGAAAGCCCAAGGAACTGCCACAGACGGGAGGACACTAAAGAGATGTGGCAACTAAATGCAGCGTCGGATCCCGGAACAGGAAAAGGACTTTAGGGGAAAAACTGGGAAATCTGAATCAAGTCTGTAGTTTCCATAATAGTACTGGGCCAGTGTTAATTTCTTAGTTTTGAAAGCTATGCTGTGGTTAATGTAAGATGCTGCCATTAAGGGAAGCTGGTGAAGGACATGTGGGAACTCTCTGAACTATCTTTCCCTCTCTGTGTAAGTCTAAAATCATTTCACAGTTTAAAATTTTAATATATATGTATTAAATTGTTACTATATTTATACTATTTTAATTATATTTTGTAATATAAGTATATTTATATTATACATTACACATGAATTGAAATGGAAAGATATGTCCACCTCAGGGAGTAAAGTATTGCACATAAATGAAATTTCCCAAAACACCAAATATTTTCTTATTTTGACTTCCTGATGGGATATTACTGCAACATGGTAACAGCCTCCTTGCCTTATCAGCCTCAGTTATTCAATGCAGTGGTCACTGGGGGCTCAGGAATCTGAGCAGGGTTCTGTGACTCGACATTCCAGGACTGGGAGCTCTTATGCCTGTTTTTACAGGTGTTTGTTTTGTTTGGTTGTTGTTTTGCCTCCAGGATTCTCTGTTAATGCTTCTGGATGCGTTTCTTTTTCTGTAACAATTATCACTTCTATTTTCCTCTAATATTCTACTTCTCTTTTTCTCTAGTGTTTTGTTAGCAGGAATCATCTATTTGGAAGTATTCATGCCTGTGCTAATCCACATGCTTAAATGACGATGCATTGACCCAACGTTGAGTGGCATGCAGTGGCATGTAGGGTGACTTCTGCCCCACATCGCAGGCAGTTCCTGTTCACTTGGAGACATCATGTGCATGCTTAGGGCCCAGGGCGCTGCTACCTGCACTTAAACTCTTTGCTACCATTTTCAAACTGTGTGACTCTGGGCAAGTCCCTGCCCTTTTCTGCCTCAGTTTGCTCATGTGTAAAATGGGGCTAATCATGTGTCTGCTTCATGAGTGCTTATAAGGACTAAATAAATTGATACAGGCAAAGAACTTGGAATGGGCCTCAGTACCTCGTACGTGCTGTTAATGTCGCATGTTCCTGTCTGCCATGTTCAACCTGAGTTTCAATTTTGGGAGCAAGGGATGCTTCTCCTAGTCACCGGACAGCTTGCTAAACAGTCGTGTTCAGCAGACTAAACAGGCAAAGCCAGGGCTTTTCTGATGTTGTTTCCTCCTCATTTCTCAGAAAAGAGGTTTCCCTGCTCCCTCCCTTGACAGTTATGAAAAAGGACAGCTGTTGGCTTAGAAATGATTTATCTTGTGAAGAGAAATAGCCTTGAAGAAAAAACCATTTTATAGCTCTGTGCCATATATTCTGAACAGAATGTAGGGTGCATGTATTGAAATGTGTTAAAAACAAATGCAAATATGCCCAAGTGTGTTAGAGAAATAGTTATAATCTTCCCTCCAAAGCCCACGTCTGCGTTGGGGGAAGGAGCAAAGATAATCTGAGAAAATGCAGAGTTTGCTCTTGGGTGTTGTCCAGGGGATCTCAGGTTTCCCAGGCAACAGCCAGCACAGTCCTTGGCCCGCACAGTACTCTGTCCTGGGGACCTGAGCTGGTCTTGATGAAGCTTCCCTTGGAGCCAGTGTGCCAATACTGCCACTTAAAAGAGTCAGGAGGTGGTCATAACTGCTTCGGTCACTTCAGGGAAATGAGGCCCAGGAGGTCAAAGTGCCAGGATTATTCTTGGGTCCTCCTTAAGCCAGGAAAGGAGGCCAGAGAGATGCTGCTTGGTGGTCCAGAGCTGGGATCCCTGTAGTCTGGTCCCTGCTGTTGTGTCCTTTGTGTCCTAAGAGTGATCACTTTTGCCTCGCAGTGTTGCTATGAGGATTAGTTGAGATGAAGTACACGAGCTTGCAGACGTCGCATGGATGAGGACCTGGTTACTGTTCCTGGGGTGTCCTCAGCAATAGGCGTTTCTAAATCGTAGCAGCTGCTCATTAGAACTGTGGTTTCTCTCTGTGTGCCCGCCCCCGTTGCGTCCCTGCAAGTCAGTGGCCCAGGCCTGCCTCCAAGGTGGCAAGGTACCCCAGATAGTTGCCTAAAGTCTGGAATACTTTTCCCCGTGAGGGCTTGTCGTGGACAGAGATGCTGGCAGCTGTGCAGGGGGAGAGACCAACATTGAATGGGTTGGCAAATATTTCGCAGAGGTGTCTCCATGCTTGGCAAAAACCAGCATGTGAGATTTTTTTAACTTGATTAAAATGAAGCCAGAAAATAGTTCAAGGAAAATTGCTGTGGAGGCTGGAGAGGGGAAACAAACTCACCCACCATTGCGTGGTGGGGCCCTCCTGGTGCAGCAGGGGCTCTCACTGCGTATCAGAAGGGAATGTAGAGATATGAGAAGGTCTCCATCAGGGCAGGTGCATTTCTCAAAGATTTTTTGTTTCATTTGTTTGAAAGTTTTTCTTTAAATTTTTTTTCAAGGAAGATTATCCCTGAGGAACATCTGCCAATCCTCCTCCTCTTTTTTCTGAGGAAGACTGGCCCTCAGCTAACATCCCTGCCCATCTTCCTCTACTTTCTATGTGGGACGCCTACCACAACATGGCTTGCCACACGGTGCCATGTCTGCACCTGGGATCCGAACTGGCAAACCCCGGCCCACCAAAGCGGAACGTGCGCATTTAACCGCTGTGCCCCTGGGCCGGCCCCTGTTTTAAAGTTTTAGTCAATGAAGTTTCCCACAAAAAAGGAAAGTAGCTGAAGAAGAAATAGAACAACAAAGAGCCACATTTTCAAAGTGCGACCAAATGGTCTGCACTGGATCCACATGATGCAAGTTCCCAGGGCCGCCTTGCTGCAGGAGGGCCTGGAGTCCACTGCTGGTTCTCCTGCCCACCCCCCGCCACCTCCCCACTCCCCAGACAAAGCTGCTGTGGGAATGCAGAGTAAGCAGTGAACACTGTTCAGGCCGTTGGGGTCCCGATCACAGGTGCTGCTCTCTACTGCTTGACATGTGGCCCCAAGGAGCCCCCAAACCTCCCTGAGCGCAGGCTCCTAGACCATTTAAGAGCACCCGGGCTCCGACAACTTATGTCTATACCTTCATTTCCTGAGGCTCTTTTGTGGGCAGCTCTGTAAGACGTCACCTCCGTATTAGAACATTTTGTCAAACCGGGGTACAGGCCACGTAGGCTCTGTCAGAGGGATGTAGCTTTGAGTTTGCCCAATTGTGAAGACCACTGCCCTAGGCTCCCCCCGTCCCTGTGGGCACTCGCAGTCTCCACTGGTCTTCCAACCCCTTGGCAGCCGAGACCTTCAGAGAGGGTGTGGTATCTGAAGTTGTGTGGCCTTGTAGCATTTCTGAGGAATCCTTTGCAGAGGGTGTGTGCCCTCTGGTGTCCAATAGGCTTGATGGTCACTTCCGCATATTTGTGGCTCTAAATGCATAAAACATCTTACATGTGTAAAGCCAGTGCGCCATGGGGAATTCCTGAGAAGCAGATGGCCTGTTCTTAAAATGCGTTGAGGAGAGAAAAATGTTTAGAACCAAATTGATGCCAAGAGATACCTGAAAAACAAGTGGCCACACCAGAGTAGACACCAAGGACGGCTGTCCTGTCTGTGATCAAGGATGTTAAATTATCAGATGCACTGTCTTCATAACCAGAGAGAACAGTGGCCAGAAGTTTTGATATTAAGTACCAACATTTACTAAGCACTCAGTAACACTTCAGGTGGAGCCAAGGTTGTGTGGCTATCACCACAATTTTAGAACATTTTCATCACCCCAAAAAGAGTCATTCCCCATTCCCTTATCCCCCCACCCCTGGCAACCACCAGCCTCCTTTCCATCTCTATGGATTTGCCTTTTCTGGACATTTTATACAGATGGAGTCATGTGATGTGGCCTTTTATGTCTGACTTCTTTCACTGAGCATAATGTTTTCAAGGTTCATCCACATTGTAGCATGAATCAGTACTTCATTCCTTTTGATAGCTGGATGATATTCCATTATATGGACATACCAGATTTTGTTGATCCACTCATCTGTTGATGGACATTTGAGTTGCTTCTACTTTTTGACCATTGTGGAACCTTCATGGGTGGGTCCTTGTGTGGACATGTTTCCACTTTCAGTTCGCTGGTTCATTTTTAACTCATCCTTGAGTGGTTCAGTAAACCTTCCATTTGGTTACAACCATTCTGTGTGACAGCAAATTGCAACAGCAGCAGACTTGTTTGAATCAGGAATTGTGGTCGTGTTTTCTAGGTAAGTTCCTATGGTATGTGTTTTTCTTGTAGACCTGCCCTTCATGCGGAATCACGTTTGCTCCCAAATCAGAAGCTGGTGCAGAAGGAGGAGCAGTGCAAAATGGCTGTCAAGAGGAGCATAAAAACAGTACCAAGGTGACAAGCTTTTGGCTGTTGTTCCTGTCAGTTCCTCTCCTGGCGCATCCCCCTGGGTTACATTGCTGTCTTACTAACCTCTCAGTTCTGAGAATAACCCCTCATAGGCGACGTGATTCTGTACCTCCTAATCCTTTAGGTTTTGAATGGACTGATAAAGGACAGGATGGAGAGTCAGAGCTAAGCCCTGTGAAGTAGGATAATCACATGCTGAACTGGGTGGGACCCCCTGACGGGCAGTAAGAGTTTAAAGACGTGTGGTTTGGAGCAGTCAGGGAAAGTTTGTGGGGCTGGAGGCTGGACTCAACACGAGGTAGAATGTGGATGTGCAAAGGGAAGAGGGCAATCCTCAGGATGAGAGGTGCATCAGAAAGAGGGGCTTAGGGATATGGACAGCAGCAAGGAAGGTGCTGGAGAAGGCTCACTCAGAGACTGAGCCGGGACTGGGGTGGGAAGCAGAGTAGAGACCAACCTGAGAGCCTTTCAGGCATGCCTATGAATCTCATCCTCCACCCGTGTGTCATCTGCCCAGACTTGTGCGATGCTGGGTCAGTCCATGTCTCTCTCAGCCCGTACGGCTCTGGGTTTCCTTTCCCTGGATCCCCTCCCTGTACTTCCTTTGAGGCGCTCAAACCTTCCCCCCGGCCCTCTGGAATGCTGGTTCTGTGGTCAGCAAACTCCAAGATCCTCAACTCTTCCCTTGGTCTTCTCTCCCCTTCCTCACTGACTCCTCCCACGATGTCACTTTCCTGGTTTCCTGAATGCCTGGAGATGCGGTCTGACGAACGAGGGGAATGGAGATGCAGCTGGGCGGAGAGGTTGAATGTTCGCATTAGAACAGGGATTTGAAGGTGCAGGTGGAAATGCGCAGTGCACAATCCAGCGGGGCTCCAATGGCAGACAGGCTGGGCGGAATAGCACTGCTGCATGCGCACGCTTCAACCTCTGTGTCTGCTCCCCCTTGTCTTGCGGCAGGCTTCTGGAGGACCTAATTCCAAAACGCAAAACGGACTTCTGAGCCCTCCCCAGGAAGAGAAGCTCACCAACAGTCAGACCTCCCTGTGCGAGATCTTACAGGAAAAGGGAAGGTGGGCAGGTGTGAGCTTGGACCAGTCAGCTCTCCTTCCACTGAGATTCAAGAACATCCGGGAGAAAACAGACGCCCATTTTGTTGATGTTATCAAAGAAGACAGGTAAGAGTGGAGCCATTTGCACTGAAGTAAAGATTTGCAGGTAGAAGCCTCTCCCTTTTTCTGAATTACTCTATTCCCCACGTGTTTGCACTCCATTGTCAGTATATTACTTTATTTTGAAGTAATTTGAAGCTTACAGAAAAGTTGCATGAATAGTACAAAGAATTCCCTTCATGCTCTTTGCCCAGTTTTCCAACTTTTAACATTTTACTATGTTTGCTTTATTCTCCTTTCTCTCTCTCTGAAATTAATTTTTTATTTTTTCTGAACCATTTGACAGTAAGTTGAATACATCATGCTAGCACTTTACCCCTTAATACTATATCTCCTAAAAACAAGGATGTTCTTTTATATAATCAGTTACCAAATTCAGGAAATTTAACATTGGTGAGATATTGTATCTAATCTACAGTTCATATTCCAATTTTGTCAATTGGTCCAATGTCCTTGATAGCACTCCCTTTCCCTCTAGTGCAGGACCCAGTCCGGGATCACATATTGCGTATGTAGTTGTCATCCCTCTTTAGTCATTTTAACTCTGGGACAGTTCCTTGGTCTTTCATGATGTTGACATTTTTGAAAAATGCAGGCCCCGTTGTTTTATAAAACATTCCTGAAGTTGGATTTGTGTGGTGTTTCCTCATGATTACATTTGGGCTGTGCATCTCTGCCAGATGCTGATGTGTCCTTCTCAGGTATCGTATCCAGAGGCACGTGGTGCCTGTCTGTCCTTCGTCAGTGGTAGTAATTTTGATCAACCAGGCAAGTATTGCCAACTTCTCCAATCTATAGTTATTATTTTCTCCTTGTGACTAATAAGCAATCCTTGGGAAGATACTTTAAGATCGTAATATCCCACTCCTCACTCCTCATCAAACTTCCCTAGATTTAATCTCCACTGATGGTTCTTGCCTGAAACAGTCTTTTCTGCGATGGTTTAAAAAGGCGCCTTGTCTACTCCAGCACCAACTGCACACTTATCATTTCGCTCTGAGCTTTCCACTATAAACAAGAGCCCTTCCCCATTTATTGCTTTATCTATCCATCTATTACCAACCTGGACTCATGGAAGCCTGTTTTACTTAATAGGATGTATTACGTCACTATCCTTATTATAGTTTGATGCTCTAGTTGTCCTGAATCTGGCCATTGGGAGCCCCCCCTTCAGGCTGGGTCTTGTGTCCTTTTGACATGACTCCATCATTTGTTTTGAGCAATTTCTTACATTCTAGCACAACAGGCTACTCCAGGCTCATTTTATATCTTTCCTGCCCCAGCTTAGGAATCACCCATTTCTTGAAAGAGCCCTGGCTCCTTTTAGTGAAGAATGATATTTAGATATATTAGTTATTAATGTCTAATTTAATGTCACTGTAGTCAAAGACATACTGTGTGTGATTTCAAGCCTTTTACATTTATTGAGACTTGTTTTATGGCCTCACATCTGGCCTTTTTTGGTAAACATACCATGTGCACTTGAAAAAAATGTATATTCTGCATTTGTAGGAAGTTGTGATCCATAAATCTCAGTTAGGTCCAGGTAGTTGGTAGTATTGTTCAGATCACCTGTCTCTACTTACTTTTTTGTCTATGGTTCTATCAGTGTTTGAGAGAAGGATGTTAAAATCTCCAACTATGATTGTGGAATTGCCTGTGTCTCTCTTTAGTCCTAACAATTTTTGCTTCATGTATTTTCAGGCTCTTTTGTAGGTACATACACATTTGTGAGTGTTATATATTCCTGGTGAATTGATCCTTTATTATTTTGAAGTGTCCCTCTTTATCCCTGGTAATGCTCTGTCTTAGAGTTTGCTTTATCTGATATTAATATAGTCACTCTGGCTTTTTTATTCTTACTATTTGCATGGTATAGCGTTTTCCGTTTTTTAAAAATCCCAACTTGTGTCTTTATATTTGAAGTTCATCTCTTGTGAGTCTTGCTTTTTTAGTCATTCTAACAATTTCAGCCTTTTAATTCCATTTTAATATACTTGGCTTTTTAGCCTTATCTCTTTGCATTATTTTTCTTTTAGTGGTTGCTTGAGGAGTTACAGATGGGTATCCTTATATTTTTACAGTCTTTTTATAGTTAATGTATCATTTCCCTTTAAATGTAGAAATCTTGTAACTGTCTAAGTCCATTACTCTCTTCTCATTCCTTATTCTGTAGTTGTCACATGTGTTATATCTACATACATTATAAACCCCAACTTTTAATTCTAACCTCTTGGTAATCTCAGGTTAGTCTCCGCTGATTGCTTTTCTGTTGAAGATGGATCATGTTTTCCTGTTTCTTTCTCTGTCTAGTAATTTTGGACTGTGTTGTATACATTGTGTATGATGCTTAGAAATTCTGGATTCCGTTATATTCCTCTGAAGAGTATCAATTTTTTGTTTGTTTCTTTCAGCAGGCAGTTAACTTATCTGAACTCAAACACCAAACTCTGTCTCCCCTGAGCTGGGCAGCAGCTATTCTGTTAGCCTTAATTAGGCTGCTGGAGTCTGCAGTGCACATGCGTATTTCAAGGGTCATCTAGAGATTTGAGCAGAGCTTCTATGCAATATTTGGGGTTTCCCTTCTTTGGTTCTCTTCCTCTGGGATTTCCAACCCCACTTTCCATCTGTGGACTTGCCAACTTAATTTTCTAGTTTTCCAAGCCAGTAAGACTGTGGCTTTTCTATCTGCATTTTAGCCATCCTGCACATGATGCTGACTAATGACAGTCTTCAGGTGAAAAATTAAAAAAAGGAAATTCAACTGGCGCTGTTTAATTCTTCTAAGTGTGACTCTCCTCCGTTTTCTGCCTTCTTTGGTCAATCTCCAGTACCTTCCTGGAGTTGTGTTTATATGTATTAAGAGTTTATACTTGTTATCTGAGAGAAGATTGGTTCAATAGGAGTTGATTTCTTTTCCCAGAAGTGGAACCTTCCAATAATAATTTCAAAGGAGAAGCACAGCTTATAACAGTGTGTATCCTGCCACTTGATTGCTAAAATGTGGCCATTGCACCTCCTCCTCAAGCTGCTTTGTTGTTTTTCCCTCTGTCCACCCTTCTTGAGTGGGAGGGTGGCTAGAGGGTCAACATTAGGGGATAGAATTTTCTCTTTTTTCAATCTAAGAGCATAGTAAGGTATTACACACTTATCGTGAAAACAGAGTCCACTATGCTTCAAAGAAAGGAGGGAGTATATGTACCCTGAACCCTGTGTGTCAGTCACATGCTAGGCACTTCACATATTTCATCTGACTTAATTCTAGTAGTTATTGTATGAGAGAGAGAGAGACTACACCCCATGGCTATATTTGCCTTCTGAAATCCTGTTAACATTCCCTTAAATTTATAGTAATTTTCTGCAGTATAAAAAGGATATTGCTATTTGCTAGCAATCCATAAAAGAATGAAAGAGTCACATAAAGCAGGTTTGATTTCTCTACTATTAAAATCATTGAGCGTTATCATTTTTCAGGTTTCACACTCAATCTGCATATGTGACAATAGCACCAAAATTACACTAGCTGTACACACAATTTTGTGATAACAACCTGTTAGCTTTGATGGTGGTAATTACTGTCAGTTCTCTGAATGACAGGACAGCCGGTTCTGAATTCTGTTTTCACTGGAAGCCTCCGGATGAACATAAGTACTCTCAGTAGAGGGATCTGCTGGGCCTTCAGAAGGATCGTTTCACAGAACAAGGAAGCTGCATTCTTCTCCTAATTCTGGATATTAGGAAAATGTCTTCACAAGCAGGGTTCTAATGATGTGTGTTGTGATTCTGGTGAATAGTCATTCTTTAGTGGAGGTGAAACATAAAGTGTGATTATGTTTGGAAACATGAAAGACTTTCCAGCAATATATTCTAAAAGGGGCAATGGAGGAATGTCTATTATGTAACAACTTAGAGCTTTTGTGACATGCCTGACAAATGGTGTTTCAGTAGCTAATTGCGATCTTCTTGTAAAATAAATGTAATCATTGTGTGGAATGTTGATCGATTGCGTTTATCATCTCTTCTAGCCTGATGAAAGATTATTTTTTTAAGCCACCCATTAATCAGTTCAGCTTGAACTTCCTGGATCAGGAGCTAGAGCGAAACTACAGGACCAGCTATCAAGAAGAGGTGTGTTTTTCCTTATAATTTTACTCAAGAAATGTGTTGTTTTCACTGAATAATTCACGATTAGTTTTGTGCTCTGGCAGCCTTTTTTGTTTTCCTTAATGACAGAAAAATGAAGGCTAATATTGATTTCCCACAATCTGTAAGCCCCAAATTGCATCTGTATATGAATTTATCTCCACAAAGGAGGAAAAAAACCAAGTCTTTCTGCTCTCCTTTGTCTAACATCCAGTTTGTTGTTTCCTGGTCCCTTTGCTCTGCTGCCAGTGCATCCCAGGCACCCCTGGCAGTGCTCCGGCCCCTGGAGGCCCAGCAGGGAGAGGGCTGCTCCAGCCACCCTGTTCTTTGGTCTCGAGCAAGATTTCTCTACCTTCCCTGTCGGCATTCTTCCCCACTGAAATGGGACAAGGAGCTCTGGAGGCCTTCCACCTTTCTCGGCATTCCCGCCTGCCTTGGGGTTGAAGCCCACTTCCTTGGCCCTGCCCCGCCTTAATTCTCTTGTTGTTTAACCCTCAGCCCAAACGTCATTGCCTCCAAAAAACTTTCCTTGACCCCCAACTGGATTTTATTTCCTTGTTTTCCTTTTTCTTCTTAGCATGCACCCCATTCTGTCATCTTTTCTGGTGTGCTCATTGAATCATGCGCCTCCCTCCCTGGACTCTCAACTCCAGGGGCAGGACCATGTCTCTTGTGTTCACCTCCACTCGGGCATCCAGCACACTCCCCACACCTACAGTGCTCAGCAGCGCATGGTTGAAATGATGAATAAATACGAGAACCTAGAGCCAGGTGTGAGGTCTAAACAGCCAGCTCCCTGCATTCTTTCCTCTGGGTCCAAATCTGGTTAGTGTTCCAAGGTCAAAAATATGTACCCTCCTAACCCCAGAGCCAAAAGGAATTTTCATTCAAATCCATTATTTCCTTCAGCACACCTTCGTTCAGCGTCTGTTATGTCCATACCCACCTAGGCTCTGGGGAGACCCTGGTGAACCAGACAGAGCCAGTTCTTGCCTCATGGGGTGGAGGCGCCCCCTTTTGTCAGCCCCCAGGGATGGTGAATACCAGTTAACATCCCAAGCAGGGCTCCTCTGGGGATTTGTGAGTTGCTCGGCGGTGACCTATAAGGCTGATCGTCATCTCATTTAATCCTCGCAGCAACCCTCTGAGGAAGCCCACAGTTATCCCCATTTCCAAAGAGAAAGCCACAGCCTGGCAAGGCTGAGGGGCTGGAGATGCTATTGCCAGGGCAGGGCACCCTTCTGATTCAGAGCCGGGCGCTCTCTACCACTCCCTGTACCGAGCAGCCAGGCCTCCCAAACACGGGCACGGTTCTCGTCTATCCCTCTAGTCACCAACGTGTACTGAGCACCTGTGCTGCCAGGATTGTTCTCATGGCTAGGATTTAGAGACGGCCAACACACTCTGTGGGGGAGCAATAACTCAGCAGAAGTGAGAATCCAGAGCCCTGGGTCCTGGGATGCCCTGCGAGCGCACGGCAAGACACCAACCCCAGACTGAGGGTCCAGAGGGAGGTAGCTCTTGAGCCCATGTTAGTGGAAGGACTGGCAATTAACCAAATAAAGGAACATTCCAGAGAGAGGGGCCAGCACCTATGAACCTTAAAGATAAGACAGGGCCTGTGCTTTTGGGGAGCTGCAGGCACATCTGTGTAGCAGGCTGGGCTGAGGTGGAGTGCAGGAGGTGGGTAGAGGCAGGTCACGGCTTCCACACTGTGGATGTTAGGCCTAAGGCCAGAGGGAGCTGTGGAAGGATCTGGAGCAGGAGACAGCACCGTGAGATTGTGTTGGATAAAATAATGTGGCTGATTGTAGAAGGTGACGAGAGTGGATGAGACAGGAGGGGAGCAGGTGGGACGTGCTCACTGAAGCGCAGGGCACGCATGAGGCCTGGCCCCGCTCGGTGGAGGGCGGAGAGGGCAGAGGGATGCAGGGGTGAGGGGAAGCTCCTAGGTGGCCCCATGTGTGGCCAGCCTTGTGCTTGGGGGCCTCTCATCTAAGTATCACCACCACTCGTGAGGTGCTGGGACCCATTTCAGCAGCCACTGACCAGCGTGAAGAAATTAGGTGACGTGCTCAAGATGCCACAGCCCTGGCCAGGCTCATCAGCTGTGTGACCTTGGGTAGCCACTTGGCCTTGCCCCCCAATCTGTGCACCAGGATTGGTAGCATTTCCTTCTCTAGGGGCTGTGTGAGCATTGACTGAGGTCGTGCCCCTGAAGGATCCACATGGTGCCCAGAACCAGTCATCTCTTGGCGTTGTCACCATTTTCTCCCTCCATCCCCGTGATGCCCTAACACTACATGCATGTCTGTTATATTCCCCACACCACCTGCTGTGTCAGAGTCCTGCCCGTCCCCACCATTAGGCTGTGAGCCCCCCAAGAGCCTTGTTTCATGTCCCCTCCGGCACCCTCACAGAGCCCGGCCCGGAGCAGACCCCTGAGTGAAGGCGTGAGCATCTCTTACTGTCACTTGACATGCCCGTGCTGTCCTCTGCTGCTCCTTCCATGTCTCCCGTTACCTGTGTCACAAAGCCATCTTTCACACACCCTGAACCTGGGACCAGGCCATTCAGTGGAAGCTCCTAGTGCGATTGCCTTTACAGATGCAGAGTTGTTGACTTTGCCAGTCGATGCTCACCTTTCAGGCTCAGTATGTAACATGCCTTTGAGAACTTATTGGTTTGTAATTGCTTGGTGTGTGACCTTGGCAAGTTTCTTAACTTCTCTGTGCCTTAGTTTACTCACTGTTAAGTGGGATAATAGTCAACTGATGGTCCCCCTAAAGCACTGTCACCCTGTCCTGGTCTAGGTAGGCAAGTGTTCTATAGACGTTTGCTGTTTTTCCACCTGATTGACACCCCGTCGCTGTCTGTCGTGGCTCCTATTCATGCTCCCCACTCTCCCCTCTTCCCCACACAGGTTATAAAGAATTCTCCCGTGAAGACTTTTGCCAGTGCCACCTTCAGCTCCCTCCTGGATGTGTTTCTGTCCACGACAGTGTTTCTGATTCTCTCCATCACCTGCTTCCTGAAGTACGGGGCCGCCGCCATGCCTCCCCCGCCGGCCGCCCTGGCCGTCTTCAGCACTGCCCTGCTGTTGGAGGTGCTGTCCCTCGTGGTCTCCGTCAGGTAAGGGCCCACCTGCAGGCGCTTCTCCAGCTGTTAGCCTTTAGCTCCCTCTGCTGGCTCCACAGTTTATGGCTGGGCAGTCCCGCTGCGGCACAGCTGACCAACCCTGGGAAGCCAGCTGTCTCTGCAGGCACACTTCTGTGATGGCTCCTCTTTCCTGCCCTCCCCCAGCCCTGCTCACAGTATCCTCCCTGCAGACCTTGGTCCTCGGTGTGGGTGGGCACCTCTTTACCAGAGGGTCAATGCCCCCTGCAGCCCCACTGCCACGAGCTAGTCCCTGGGTCTCCCAAACTAGAGACTTAGAAAGAAAAGTGGGAAGATGAGGAATGAGAAAGGGGAGAGAAAGAGACAGCAGTGTTCAGGGTGCAAATGACAGGGAGCCGCCGGCAGGTGAGCAGGAGCTTCTCCTGGCAGTGGGAGTGAAGACATCAAGCCCTCAGTCGTAGGCAGAAGTCTTCGTGAGCTTGGACCAGGCAGCGGTTTCTTAGATAGGACACGAAAAGCAAAGCAACCAAAGAAAAAACAGAAAGTTGGACTTCATCAAAATTTAAAGCTTTTATGTTCCAAAGAACACTGTCGTCATTTTGAGAGAGTATTTGCAGGTCGTATCTCTGACAAAGGTCTAATACCTAGAATGTCTGCTCAGTAATAAAAGACGAACAGCCCATTAAAAACGGGCAGAGGGGGGCCGGCCCGAGGGTGCAGCAGTTAAGTTCGCACGTTCTGCTTCGGCGGCCTGGGGTTCGCTGGTTCCGATCCCGGGTGTGGACATGGCACTACTTGGCAAGCCATGCTGTGGCAGGCGTCCCACATATAAAGTAGAGGAAGATGGGCACTGATGTGAGCTCAGGGCCAGTCTTCCTCAGCAAAAAGAGGAGAATTGGCAGCAGATGTTAGCTCAGGGCTAATCTTCCTCAAAAAAAAAAAAAAGGACAGAAGGTCTGCATAGACAGCAGGGACCCCCAGGACCCACTCAGCCTGATGTCAGGGTTCTGCTTAACACCTGAGGATGCTCTTGGCTGCTCTGTGTGTTTCTGACTAGAGGCAAGCCCACAGGACACTCCCTTCACAGGCACACAGACCACCGTGCGCCATCTGCCTCCTGGGCGCCATGGCCACCCTCTCTGTACAGCTGTCACTCTAACACGCCTGGCAGAGTGCCCCCAGGACCTAGGGGTAAATCAGGAATGAGGAGAAGGACCCTGACCTCGAGTCCCTGCTCCTCTTCCCCAGCATCCCAGGATGGAAACGGTTGCTCTGGCCAGGCCCTGAGCCTTCCAAATGCTGGTTCCCCTTTGAAGTGGACAGCCAGCTGCTTGGCCCTCCCTTCCTCTTGCCTGCTCCCACTGAGGCCCCTGCAGTTGAGATCACTTTAAGGTGCTTCCTCACTGTCTCCCCCAAAGTCCCCACCAGGAGTGAGCCTCATTGCCCACAGCAAGTGGCTCCTCCCTAGCACAGCCCTCTCTGTGGGCCTGTCCCTCTGTGCCTCTGCTCTGCACCCCTTGCCGACCTCCCAGATCAGCTCTGCTTCTGGAGAACCCAAACCATGGTATCCTCAGGCCCTTAGTTTCTTTCTTCCTTTTTAAAATTAGCTTTATTGTGATATAATTCACATACAATAAATCCACTCATTTAAGTGTACAATTCAGTGATTCTTAGTAAACTTACAGAGTTGTGCAAACATCACCATATAATTTTAGAACATTTCTCTCACCCCAAAGAAAACCCAGTCCCCGTTTGCAGTCACTCCCCTCACATCCACCCTCCCCAGCGCCAGGTTTCTGTCTGAGAGGGGAGCCTACAGCTGGTAAGGCTCTTGAGCTCCCTGAGGCTAGCATGTCTCTATTACTTTTTTGTGTGTGTGTACTGAGGAAGATTCTCCTTGAGCTAACATCAGTGCCAGTCTTCCTCTATTTTGTATGTGGGTCGCTGCCACAATATGGCTGCTGACAAGTAGCACAGGTCCGCACCTGGGAACCAAACCCAGGCTGCTGAAGCAGGGCATGCCAAACTTAACCGCTAGGCAATGGGGCCAGCCCTCCATGCCTTTTTCAAAAAACTCTTTACACCGTTGTTCCCTTCAGGCCCAATTCTACAGAATCTGAACTAAGCCAGGTTTAGAGACTGCAGAGGGCTGCAGTCTGGGAAGACACCAGGCCTGGCTGTGCTGGGTGCTGTGCTGGGGTGCTGGCACACCCACACACTCTGCAAGCACCTTCTGAAAGAGGAAGCCACTGTTCTCCTGGGTGACCTCTGGTGGGACTTTAAAAGTTCACTTTACACAGGATCATCGAAGCCTGGGAGAGGTCGGTACCTTGCGGGATTTCCTCTTGCCCCGCTGAGGGCATATTTAGGATCCCAGATCAACAGGAACCCACACTGTGGAATCTGTAGGCACCCCAGGGAGGCTGGTCCCGGCATCTCAGCTTGGAGCTCTCGTCCTTCCACTCCAGCCATTTTGTGCCGTGCCCCAGGCAGATGTGGGAACAGCGGTCTCGTCCTCAGAACTCTGCATACTGGAGACCTTTGTGGAGGGCCTCCCAGTCCTGCCTTCTCCTGGTTAGAACTCAACTCCCTCTGTCACTTTGTAAGGCTTATGCATTCTGACTTTGAGCATATTTGTGGTTATTCTTGGAAATAGTCCAAGGACTCCATTATCCTTTAAGTATCAAGAGGCTAGAACCATGTAGGACCTAAAAGGGTCAGACGGGGCCTGGCTCCGGGTTGGAGAAGTGAAGATTCGAGGTTTCCTTGTGGAGGCCGAGCACGGCCAGAGTGGTCACTGCACTGCAGGTGTCCCGGCCTGAAGGCGTGGGCACCCAGGGGTGCTTGAGAGGCCTTGACGAGCTTTGTGCTGTTGATGCTGGGCCGCAGCTCCTGGCCCCTCCAGAAGCGAGGACAGCAGGCCTGTCCCCATTCCACCCTCCCTGAGGGCTGGCTTCAGAGAGGGACTGTGTGCATGGGTGTCCCTCCCAAGGCGGACCCCTGGGGCCCTCACCTCCATCTCCTAGTGCTGGTGTCCAGGTGCAGCCCCTCCTGACCCAGGGCTCCCCAGCTTAGCCAAGACCTGTTCTTCCTTCAGAACAACAGCCTTCAGCCCGCACACTCAGCTCCCCCTTCTTTATGAAAGATGTTTTATGATGTCCACGTCACTCTCCTGAAATATAGCCCCTGTACACGTAATTTCAAAAGGAATCAGTGACATGCCTTCACTCCAGTCTGAAGGAGAAACAACAAGAAAGCCATTTGAAATCAAACATGTCATGCTTCACCTCGTATGTGTCAGGGCCTGCCACTTGGACATCGTGACAGAGGCGTCAGCTGTTTGCCTTTGTGCACAAGGCTCTGTGAGTGTCATGGCTCCAGGTGTGGACCGTGGGAGATGTGTGGGTTTGGTGGCACAAGCACCGTGAGCTGGGTTGCAGCTTGTGACGTTTCTGAAATGCTGAACAATCTTTGGTGATGTCCCAAACAAAGGGTAATATTGCTTAGTTTACACAGCAGTTCATTCCTGGAAAATTCAGCGTACATTAACGCCATGCAGAATCCACTTTCTGTTTGTAAAGGAAACACAACTAGGCTCTAGGCCAAGGTGACTGTCAGCAGGTTTTTTGCCTCCATGAGTGTCCAGGGGCAGTGGCAGTCTGCGGGCCGCAGGGCAGAGCTTCACTGTGCATCGCAGGACACCTCCCATCCTTGGCTCCTGCCAGTAGATGCCATCGTGCCCCTCAATCATTGAGGCAATGGAAAAGGCCCCCCAAAGTTCCAGGACGCCTGCTGAACTGCCCACTCGAGACCTCCACCCCAGAAGCAGACTGCGCAGAATAAGGTCACCATTCCCACGGCCTGTTAGTATTTGCCTGCCCGGCTCTCACGTGCTCTGCTCAGCCCCACAGTTACATCCTACCAGAATGCAACAAGTGACCTTGAAAGAGGGTATAACGAGCTTAGTGAGTCTGGTTTACGCACCATCTGCCAGAAGTGAGGGCTGCGGGCTCTGCCTGCCCCCATGCCGGCAGCGTGGCGTAGGCCAGAGTTGGAGCAGCACCGGCTGGTGGTCCCCTGCCTGCATCTTCTCTGGCAGGCTGGCTACCCACAGACACCCTGTTTCTTCTTTCCCCTCTCCCTGTTGCAGGATGGTGTTTTTCCTGGAGGATGTGATGGCTTGTACCAAGCGCCTGCTAGAGTGGATAGCCGGCTGGCTCCCGCGCCATTTCATCGGGGCCATCCTGGTGTCCCTCCCTGCTCTCGCAGTCTATTCACACATCACCTCTGAATTTGAGACAAACATACATGTAAGTCAGGGCTTGGTGATTTTATGTCTGTGTGCTCCTGGACTCCCTCGTCACTTTTTAAAAAAATAAGCCTGACAACTTTGGGACAGCAGTTTAAATATAGGCCTTTAAAGAGGTACAAACTCTTTGTCGCTACCTCGAGTTCATCTTTTTAAAAGACTTGCCTGGGACAGGAGCAGGTGGGGAGGTTACCTCGGGAACCTGTCTACATGCTTGAGGCCGTCATTGTCCACACTCCTAAGTGCTGGCTAAGAGGCCACCCTGCCCTGGGGAGATTCCCCAGGGGACATGTGTCCTCTCCAGTCTCTCTTGGTGTTCACAGGTTCAAATCTGTTATTTTCTTATGCATTTTACAAAGAAGAATCTGTCCCACGTTTCCAAATGATACAAGATAATGTGCCAGTCTGCAGAATGGGCACAGGTAATTGACTCGCTCCTGGACTGGCTGCTGTTGACCAGGGACGGAGCTTCTGAGTTAAACCCCATGAAGAGTGAGATAATGCTGTTGTGGAAGGTTATGTTTTGGGTAAAAGTGAGGGTAACATGAACTACTGGGGTGAGCTGACCGCATTTGGTATTTTAACACCAAATTACATTTCCCATGACACGCAACAGGGTGCCGGAAGGAAGGGCTTTTTTAACGTAACCACTTACACGGTGGTCGTTCTCAAGCCGGGCAGCCCACCTTCCTTTCCTCCAGAATGAGGTGTGTGATTTCCACACATCCGGAGAATTTTAGTACAGCGTGAACTTGTAACCTAAAGCTCTGAATAGTTAACCTAGGGATGTGTGATCTCTCCTTGAAACTGCGGATATTTTGTGATTTTTTATATTAAACAGATTCGCTCGTAAGTGAGCGAATCATCTTATCTCAGGATGCCCAGGTGGAGGCGAGGAAGGGGGAGGGGTTCCTAACCACTGCCCGGCCCTTGTTGCAGTTCACCGTGTTCACCGGCTCAGCTGCTCTCATCGCCGTCGTGCACTATTGTAACTTCTGCCAGCTCAGCTCCTGGATGAGGTCCTCCTTGGCCACCGTCGTCGGGGCGGGGCCCCTGCTTCTGCTCTATATCTCCCTCTGTCCGGACAGGTACGTACCCACCACCGTCCGTGGCTGGCCCCATGCATCCTGTGCATTTCTTTCACTGCACTTCGACACCAGTGCTAACCCCCTCCACTCGACAGATATTCACTACCACACCTGAAATAGCTGTCAGCATACACAGTGTCAACAACTTAACGAGATGCCCAAAGAGTAATATGCAAAAAAGGAAAAAGAAGATAATTTTTAATAATAAATTAATACATGTTTGCATATAGACATCTCTGGTGACTACTCTCCCCAGAAGACGTAATGCAGCAGTCATGTGCTTGAACTTACTTATGATGAAGAAGTTTGAATTTAAAAAAGTAGGACCAGAGCGTTTCGTACAAGATGATTCAGGAAATGAAGGAATAGAGGCATGGGTAGACAAAAATGAAGAGAGGAAGGTGGGTCTAACCTCATTTGAAGTAGGGTTAAGGTACCAAGACAAATTGCAGATTGCTGATGTAGAGGAAATGAAGAGGTATCATGGTCTTGCAGGTCACCTGGGCTTCCTTTATAATAGTGACACAATATTGTGACACGTGTTATGACATGAGACATTGGAGTAATGATGGATCACTGGAAATGTATCTTCTATTTTGAAATCCTTCCACATATCAAAGATACGTTCAGTCCCTGGTACTAAATGGCCTTCAAAACCATGTCACTGGTAGGTGCCGAGGAACAGAGAGGGTGGTGTGGAAAAAGAAACGGGAGCTGTGTGGAGGACCCCTGGGGACAGGATCAGTTCTCATTGCTGTGCTACAAAAAATTTAAAAATAAAAATATATAGGATGGCAGTGATGTGTAAAACATCCTTCGTTAGTGACACCCAGTGAGATACTTATCTTTCATATGTTCTGCCAACTGAATAATGTTTGGTTCTTAGTTTGTTAAAAATAAGTCTCAAATTGCCTGTTGCACATTTGAGACTGGTTTTGTGGCTTTTAACGTTTTCCAACTAAATATGTAGCTGGAAATACAATGATATGTTGGATAGCACAATCACACGGTGAGTAATTTACTCAAAAATTTCAGGATAAGGTCTTAAAGCCATTAAGCTTCAGTTTCCATAACAAACTTCTAAATGTTGGACTTTTTGTGTAACTGCTTATCAGAGCATTTTACTATCAGCACATGTTGAAGAACCACTGATGTGTAATTACAGTGGGTGCAGGCTAGCAGGATGTTTAATGTGACATGGGACATTGCTTCATTGTGTTTGCAGGACATCTCACATTCCTGGCTTCCCAAATTATTATACCAACCAGAGAGACCCCCACCGTTTCCAAATGCCCCCTAGGAATTGTATTATCATTGCTGAGAACCATTGCTTTAGTAAATTCCAAAGGAGAAAATGATCCAATTTGTTGCAGTATCAAATGAAATCGCCATCGTGTATCTTTGGGTATCACCAAAGCAAGCGGCCAGTACTGGCCAGAGCGAGTATCCTTCCTCAGTTTACTTAATAGAATAACAGTGACATGAAAGATATTTGAGTTCTCTGCAAATTGAGATCAAAAATGGAATTTAAAGTAGAACTGTCATTTAGCATTTGAAAGGAAACTTTAATGAATAGTTAAATTACTTTAAGTAAAACAAAGCATCCTTTTTCCCTTCTGAAGGTACGGCCATCTGCAATTAGGGTCATTAGAAAGCTCTTTCCCAAGAGCAGGAACTTCAACAATCTGCCTTTTAACCTTTTAGATGCACCACAGATGCCTCATCAGCCATTCAGTGTCGTTCAGTCTCTGGTGTGGGGCTTTCCTCCTGGTCTAGCAGACCACAGTGATGGGGGCCCCCCATCGCCTCTCTGCCCAGAGTTCCAGTAGCAGATCTTGGGGTGGGGCCGGTGGTTAAGCTCCCCTTCACCCGGTCCTCTTCCGCACATGCAGGATCCTCGGAGCCCATCCACCCCGAATCCCCAGCCGGGACGGGGACTCTGAGGAGTGGGCAACAGAAACATAAACTCAACTCCTGCGAAAGGGAGGGAACTCTGCCCAGAACCACGGCCAGCTTGGGGGGACACAGACATGTGGGTTATGATGATGTCGCAGTCGTGTCTGGACAGGGTGAGAAGAGGACATAAAGTCCTAGAACTCGAGTCTTGTGGTGTCACTCTTGCTTTTCTTTCCTTTTCCCTGAAGTCAGTTAACACCTCGTGTAATTATAAAAGCCACTCTGAGCCCTCACCTGGCCTTCGCTGCCCAGGAGAGCTCCTCCCAGATGCTGAGTAATGTCCCTCATTGTGTGAGCAAGGCCAGTGGATCTAGAGGACAAAGAAGTGTCAGGGCACGAGGCTCCCTGGGTGGGCAAGTGTTCAGTTGATTTAGGGCCTGGGTAGCTGCTGGGTGTAGCACGACCCCAAAAGAAGCTGCAAAGAATGTGGAGAGGATGCAGGCTGCAGTCTCGGCTGCCTTCCCTCACACCAAGAGAGAGTTCTTTAATTATGCGTGGTTTCCATGCCCTAAATTTGGGATTTGATGGCTTTGGGACCACCGATAGCAGAGTCTCGCTTCTCCAGTCAGCCATAACCTGCCGGCGCCTCCAGCACTTCCATTTGAAAGTGATCCTGCCCGTGGGCCTTGCCGTTTATCCCGACCGAAGTTCTAGCCCGTAGGACCCTGCAGACGGTCCCCACAGTGAGGCGAGTGCCTGGGAGCCTCCTTCTGTTTGGTTTTGCTCTTTGGCGGTTGTGTCTACTTTCCATAGCTGACATGAAGGCTTTTTAACTATATCATTGTCTTTACCTTTTGTTATTCTTATTTAAGACACCATCAAATTATAATAAAAATTAACTCTCCTTAACTGTCCAACTTGACCTCCACATAAAGAAAGGACAGTTGTTTATTTAAATTCTTCTCAGATTGCCCTATATAATGCCTTCTTTGCTTTTGATAATAATATTTTTCTGCATTTTAATTTCAGTTCCATAGTAATGTCACACCTTGATGCAGTACAGAATTTCAGGTAAGCTTTTAACTTTGTACCTATAGAATAAATGAAAGTAACTGTATTATTACTGCTTATTTCTACTCTTCCTAAAAACAGTTGTATCTTGAATAAAAAGGACAGTATGTCCATTCTTAAAAAACTAAGTGGAAAATATCTACTTGTTGAAATATCAGATCGTAGTTATAATATCTTATTGGAGAAATGAAATGATTGTTAAGATATAGATTAGATTAAATTTAATTTTTTATAAGACGTTACCATGTTACAAAGGAAATCTCACAAATCAAAGTACTTATTTTAGTCCCTAAAATATTTTGAAATAATTGATTAGAAACTTGAAATAATAAATGTTAAGCCCTTGCTTTACTGTAAACATCAAGCTAAATTCTAAATAAATTGAAGAGTCAAAAATAAAAATGAAATATATTTTGATTTGATGTAATTTGATATTTTCAAATATATCATTTGATATTTTGATCATATATAAAACTATATGAAAAACTAGAAAAAATGAAATTAAATAGTTTTCAAGCCTCCAAGACAGAGAGAACTTTCCAGTCTTACAAATAATAAATAGAAGCACACACGCAAAAATAAAAGACTGACAGATTGATGAGGGGGATCAAAGCAGACTGAGAAGAATATTTGTGGGACTGTTATATAGAGAGCTAATGAAGACCTGCATAGGACAAAGGACAAAAACAAAAAATTCACAAGATGAAATGGAGGTAGAAGATAAACATATTACTACTGAAGTCATTGCACGTTTAAATAACTACAGAATTCCTTTTAGTCTTTTAAATTGGACCTTCAAAAAGTTATAATGCATGGGCGCCAGCCCCAAGGCCTAGTGGTTAAGTTTGATGTGCTGCTTGGGTGGCCCAGGCTTGGTTCCCGGGTGCAGGCCTACACCATTCATCAGCAGTCATGCTGTGGCAGTGATCCACATACAAAATAGCGGAAGACTGGCAACAGATGTTAGCTCAGGGCCAACCTTCCTCAGCAAAAAAAAAAAAACCAGTTATAGTGCAGATACCTAGTGCAGGCGAGGGTGTAGCATATTCATAAATAGCTAGTGGTGTTCAATTTCGTTAAGCTACGAGACACTTATAAAATATGTTTATTTAATCCTTACAATAACCTGACACAGGTGACGAAGGTCACTTTGTCCCCATTTTCCAGATGAGGAAGCTGAAGATCAGAGAAGTTAAGGAACCTGCCTGTGGTCACACAGCTGGTCATTAGCAGTGTTTAAACCCAGGCCTCCTTCATTACTAGGCCATGCTCTTTCTGCCATACCTTGTTACTCATCAGAATGGTACAACAGTTTTAGAAAGTAATTTGCCCATCTATAGAAATGTTCATAGACTTTAACCTAATAATTCTATTTTTGCTTATCTGCTGAGGTGCTAATTCAGCATATGGTAAAGGCTGCATGCCCCAAAATAACAATCACAATGGTTGATAATATTGGAAATTCATCAGCAACTTCAGTTGTCAATAAAAACGCAATCAATGGAATTATGAGTCATGTACTCAAATATTGCAACTGTTAAAATGCAGCAATATGGAAAACGTTTATGATTTCACTTATTATGTGAAATTACATATGTTCTATAGCTACACCTAGGTATTTCATTATATATATATGAAACAAATGTAAGATATGTAATAGTTATGCTCTAGTAGTGAGTGATGAATGACGATTTTTTTCTGTTTCCACAATTAAAAAATTAGTATCTGCAGACATTTAGACATTGGGAAGGAGATTTAAATGACTGTGGAATAAAGGCAGAATGCAAGTGTGTTTCTATGTATGATTACAACTGTGGTATTTAAAAGCAAACACGTAGCAGCTTTTTTTAAGTTAACTTTTTATCAACGTATAACATATGCACAGAAAAGTGCCCAGATCATAAGAATACAACTGAGTTAGTTTTCACAAGTGAGCACACCCATTCACTACCACTCAGCCCAAGAAACAAACATTACCCGTACCCCAGATGCCCGCCTCATGCCCCTCCTGTGACCCCCCCGCCCGCATCCCTAGGCGTAGATTTTCAGTGGCACCGAAGCACACCAAGATGTTAGCAAGTCCCGCGTTTGCCTGGTTAAGACCACAAGTGGTCTCTATTTGCTGGTTTTCTCTGTTTCAATCCCTCTTCTCCATGATGGTGAATAATGCTCTATTTTACTCTAACTTCTGTTTATGATTTAACGTCCAACTATTAGGTCATACATTGACTCTTGCATTTAGTCACATAAAATTCCTCTTTTTGGAACTGACTGTTGCTATTTGAATTTAGGAATAGAACCATCACCTTTGTTCCTTCTGTAGTAGAATAAGAAATACAGATTATAGGTCAGAAGTAATCCTCTTACCTACTTGCTACAGATCTCTTCTGCTGCAACGCAGCCCCAGGTCCTACGTGTAAATCTGTGTGTTAGCACTCTTCCTTTTAAGCAACCGTGAAAGCAGCATTGCGGTCTGCCTACCTTTCTCACACCAGCCGGCGTTTCGCTTTTCCCCCTCTTCCGTCCCAAGGGGACTGGCTGTGCCCGTCTCCAGAGTCAGGCCACACTGCTGGCTTTGGCTACAGCACAGCAAGAAAAATGACAGAGCAGGAGACTGATTGAGGAAACACACCACCCCTTTCTACCACAGGGATTTACAATGCCTGGTTGTGCCGCTGAGATGACGGTAAGGCTTGGTGACTTCCGCTCATAAAGAGGGCTGTTCTTCAGTGTCACCACTTTGGAGAACCAGAAAGAAAGGTCAACTCCTAACCCAATGAGATGGGCTCACACAGGAGAAGACTTAGTCCCTCCTATTCCAGATTTTCTCCCTAAAGCCACCCAGAGGGCTTGAGGGGCTGGACGTGAATCTGTTTTAGTCATCTGAAATAAATAGTTAATTGTCTAGTACTGAGATTCATAATATGTTTTGCCATCTGTTTAAATGACAGTTGGCAAAATAAGTAAGTGAAGCGTGGTGTGTCTCACCATAGAGGTCTTTTTTGGTTCCTGGTTCATAGGCATTGAGTCACAGAACCTGTGTCAGGGGTCCCCAAGACCATCCCCAGGTCCTATGCTTCACTCGGGGGACTCAGGACTCAGCACATAGTCGTACTCATGGCTGTGATTTGTTACAGTGAAAGGATACAAAGAAAAATCAGCAGAGGGAAGAGGTACATGAGGTGGAGTCTGGAGGAAACCAGGTTCCAGCTTTCAAGAGTCCTCTCCCAGTGGAGTCGTACAGGACACACTTAATTTCTCCAGCAATGAACTGTGACTGTGCATGTGAAATGTGGTCCCCCAGGGAAGCCCATCGGAGGCTCAGTGCCCAGGGGGTTTATTGGAGACTGGTCACATAGGCACCCTCCACCTAGCACGTACCAAAATCCCAGACTTTCAGAAGGAAGGTAGGTGCTCAGGATAAGCCAGGTTGTTTGTATGACAGTCTAGGCACAGTGTGCCCCTCTTATCACGGGGTGGGGGGAACCTCCCGCAATCCAAGTTTCCTGACGCCAGCCTAGGCACCCTTGCCTGTAGGCCTTTCTGCGGATGGCAGCCACAGGCCTGCTGTGATAACTCCTTTCTGCACAGAACCTTAGGCCAGTAGGGACTTAGCCATGCTCCAGCCCATCTTCAGTTTACACATGAGGAGATTGAGACCTAGAAGGATGACGTGACTTGCCCAAGGTTCCAGAACTCTGCAGTGGTCCAGCCAGGAGAGAGTCCAGGTACTCTTATTCCAAAGCCAGGGCTTTTGTGACTGTTTCAGGGAGGGCCATTATGGCCAGATTGATCAATTTCATTGTTTTTTAATATCCTTAAGTTACAAGTAACAGTAAAACTTATTAAACACCCTGATTACAGAATTGAGCTTTCTGTGCCACAGAGCTATCTAAACTGAGGACCCATCCATTTTACATACAATCACTCACACATAACAATGTTTCAGTCAACAGTGGACCGCGTATACAGTGGCCCCGTGAGGGAGAACCATAGAGCGTAGGCGTGTGGTAGGCTGTACCATCTAGGTGTGTGTAAGTACATTCTGTGATGTTCACACAATGACAAAATCGCCTAACGATGCATTTCTTAGAACGTATCTCTGTTGTTGATGCACGACTGTATAATTACATTTGTATAGTGACCCTGCCCATTGTTACATAAAATCTAGTAGTCCACTCTGCGCATTAGAAGTACGTCGGGGCACAAAATTTCTATGAACATAACAATCGCAGCATCGTAAACAAACAGAAGAAGCACTAGTAGGAAATTCAGCAAACCTTAATAGTGATTGCCTCTGGCTGGTAGGATGACAGATGAATCTTTTTTTTTCTTTTTACTCTTTTCCCTAAATTTTCTATGATGAGTAGTATATAGTAGCTAAATGGGAAAAAAATTTATTTAAAAAATCAACTTTAAAATAGACTATGCTCCTCGTGCTTATCTTCAGTCCTCCAGTCATGGCTGTTGCCTGTCGGCACCCTCGAACTGCAGGATGGCCCCCGGAGAGCAGCCTCAGTTATGGAGGGAATGGAAATAGGCTCAGGCCTGCGAAGGGCAATATAGAAATTTCTAGTGGGATTCTAAATGTGCAGTATTTAAAATGACACAGCAAGTCCACTTCCAGGAGTTTATCCCACAGACAAAATCATTCCTACGCACAGTGACACGGTACAGGAATTTCACTGCAACATTGTCTGGTAGTAAAAGATGGACAGAGTGTAAATGCCCGTTGGTGGGAGTCTGGGTGCTACAGTACATCCATTATTAGAATATCATGCACACCACAGGAAAATGACAGCATTGCTTACCTTGATGGAAAGACACTTGGTTTCCATTGTTTATAGTGGTTGAGTTTCCTGCAATGTGTTCCTCTTAAAAGTATACATATTATATTCTTTTAAAAAACGTTAAAGTTGGGGCCGGCCTGGTGGCACAGTGGTTAAGTTCGCTTGCTCTGCTTCGGCGGCCCAGGGTTCGCTGGTTTGGATCCTGGGTGTGGACATGGCACCGCTTGGCAAGCCATGCTGTGGCAGGCGTCCCACATATAAAGCAGAGGAAGATGGGCATGGATGTTAGCTCAGGGCCAGTCTTCCTCAGCAAAAAGAGGAGGATTAGTGGCAGATGTTAGCTCAGGGCTAATCTTCCTCAAAAAAAAAAAAAAAAAAGTTAAAGTTGTCTTGAATGACTTTGAAAAACAGAACTAACCCAGAGGCAGGGAATGGTATTTTGCCCAACTTTTATACCGGGAGACAGTAGAGAACTTAAAAGAATTCTTTGTAAAATTACAAGTCTTTCAAAACTAAAGTTGGATTAGAAGATGAAAAGTGAGTATCTCAGAGAATGTTCAGTTTCTTGGGTGTGATGATGGTGGTGTGGTTTCATAGGGAGATGTTCTTATTCTTAGGAGATACGTACTGAACTATTCAGGATTGAAGTGTCACGGTGTCTGCAGCTTACTTTCACAACGTGCAGGAAAAAGTATGTGTGTGCATGTGTGTATGTGTGCACGTGTGTATAGACAGGGAAAAAGCAAGGTAGCAAAATGTTAAGTTATTGAATCCAGGAAAAAGGTGTATGAATGTTTGTGCTACTAGTCTCTTAACTTTTCTATAAGGTTGAAATTTTTCAAAATAAAAAGTTAAGAAAAAATTTAAAAATCAAGGAGCTAAAGACTTCTGAAAACAAAGCAGTTACAAAGCTTGTTAAGGAAATCAGTTGAAGAAAGTCAGTCTTTATCTCTCCACATGTTCAGCCAGCCACCTAAGCAGAAACAGGTTGCCTTGTGCCTGCAGGTTGTCAAAGTTTTGAGCTCAAGAAAACTCTGTGCAGGATGCTGGTTAGCTGGGCTGTTTCAGAACCTGGAAGTACTGAGCAGTAGCCTTTCCCTTAAAAGATGCATTTAAGCAGGTCCGTCCTTTCTCTTGTCTTTACTCTCCAGTTCCCAGAGGCATCCGTGCAATAGTTCCTTGCTGCATGACAGCAGGAGACCAGCCCGCCTAATTGGCCAAGAGGTGGCTCTTGTCTTCTTTCTCCTGCTCTTGTTGGTCTGGTTCCTGACCCGAGAATTCGAAGTCAGCTACCGCCTTCACTACCATGGGGACGTGGAGGCGGACCTTCACCGCACCACGATCCAGAGCATGAGGGACCAAGCCGACTGGCTGCTGAGGAACATCATCCCCTACCACGTGGCCGAGCAGCTGAAGGTTTCCCAGACCTACTCCAAGAACCATGACAGCGGAGGAGTCATCTTCGCCAGCATCGTCAACTTCAGTGAGTTCTACGAGGAGAACTACGAGGGAGGCAAGGAGTGCTACCGGGTCCTCAATGAGCTGATCGGGGACTTCGACGAGCTCCTGAGCAAGCCAGACTACAGCAGCATCGAGAAGATCAAGACCATCGGGGCCACATACATGGCGGCGTCGGGGCTGAATGCCACACGGTGCCAGGACGGTAGCCACCCGCAGGAGCACCTGCAAATCCTGTTTGAGTTTGCCAAGGAGATGATGCGCGTGGTGGACGATTTCAACAACAACATGCTCTGGTTCAACTTCAAGCTCAGAGTTGGCTTCAACCATGGGCCCCTCACAGCAGGGGTCATCGGCACGACCAAGCTGCTGTACGACATCTGGGGGGACACCGTCAACATCGCCAGCAGGATGGACACCACGGGGGTGGAGTGCCGCATCCAGGTGAGTGAAGAGAGCTACCGTGTCCTAAGCAAGATGGGCTACGACTTTGACTACAGAGGGACGGTGAACGTAAAGGGGAAAGGTCAGATGAAGACCTACCTTTACCCAAAGTGCATGGACAACGGGGTCGTGCCGCATCACCAGCTGTCCATCTCCCCAGACATCCGAGTCCAGGTGGACGGCAGCATCGGACGGTCTCCCACGGACGAGATTGCCAACCTGGTGCCTTCTGTACAGAACTTGGACAAGACGTCTCTGGGTTCTGATAACAACACACAGGCCAAGGATGCTCACCTGTCCTCTAAGAGACCCTGGAAAGAGCCCATCAAAGCCGAAGAAAGGTGTCGATTTGGCAAAGCCATAGAGAAGAGCGACTGTGAAGAAATGGGGATGGAAGAAGCCAACGAGCTCACCAAGCTCAACGTCTCAAAGAGTGTGTGACGCAGCGCCGCGCGCTGCCTGCGGTGCTCTGCTCCTCGAAACACAATAATATTTGTATTTGGCTGTTGTGTGTTCCAAGCGCCACGGGTTCCGTCCCCGGACGTGGTGTCATGTGGTCATTGCAGCCCTAACTTCTGTGTGGATCACAGTTATTCAGGGTTCATTTTCATCCATTTCTTTCCTTTTTCTCCCCTTGGTGTCACACTCAGCGTGGAGAACAAGTGCCTTCAGGGGCTGGCCGTGGCCTTGGAGTCTAGGGACAAAGGCCACCGGTGGAGATCATGGCCTTGAGTGTTGTTGGACTTTTAAAACAAAAGCTGTGGTTAAGATATCATGTTTATTGCTTTTTCTCACGAGACACTTTTTTTTTTTTGCTAATACAATGTTTTTGAGGTTTATTTTTTCTGTATACATAATAGTGTTTTCCAGTGACCTGACCTTTCTGTGTAAGCACATACACGCACACACACTTGCATTTATGAATCTGAGATCAAGTGCCAGTAACTCCCTGGGAGGGGACGTCCGGGGGCGAGGCTGAGAACGGCAGTCCGCAGTCAGCCAGGCCGCCAGTTCCCCTCCCACCTGCGCCTTCCAGAGCACCTGGGCCTCGTGGGCTGTGGCCGCACCGCTCCCCACACCTGGCGGCTTTAGGGCTTCCTGCACATGTAGGCCAAGAGTCCAAATGCTAACCGGTAACAAAGCTTGTGAACCAGGCCTCAGGTATTTAAAAGCCGTTTTCCATTCTGCCCCCGCACCGAGGGGTGTTCCAGCTGGGAGCGAAGGGGTTTGCCTTTGAAGCTGACTCGTCTGAGAGGGGAACTCAAAATAAATGTCTGAGGGTTGCATTAATTTATTTATTTATTTATCAGGAAACGTGTGTTTTGGGGAGGGGGTGCCGGGTCATTCTGGTGAGGGGAAGTAGGCTCCGGGCTCCGCAGAGGGCAGGCACAGCAGAAGAAAGAGATGTCTGTCAGTGCTGCAGCCACTGTAGGCCACCTCCCCCTCAAGGGGGCTGAGCAGGACCCCTGGGTCGGAGAAGCTCTCGGCCACTGTTTGTAAACCGACGCTGCGACTTCTGCCCCACATGCCATGGATCTGCGTCCCGGGGTCTCCCTGCTGCAGGGTTACATCAGAACCCGGCTCGGTGAGAAGCGGGAGGTCTGGGCAGAGCAGGCGGGCAGGCGGTGTGGCACTGTCTTGGCTTCCACACATTCAGGAAATTTCTCCATCCTTTCCCATTCTCATCCTGCGCAGGACCTGTTTGTGGCAGGAGTGACCCTGGGGGGCGAACCCCAGCCCTCTATAGATGGGGTTCTTGCACTGTATGTAGGGACAGTATGTCCGGAGGCAGATGGGGTGCTGCGCAGGGGTATAGAAAACCTAAGGAAAAGCACTTCTGTGCCCTTTGTCGCTAATCCTGCTTGTAATCATGTTTTGCCACGTTGAGTCTGGAGTTTATGTAGAATCGAACTCAGGCTGGAGTTGCCCTGTCCCAGCCATAGTTATTTTTAAGGTGACATGGCATACAGCTCATGGGGTAATTTGAGGACTAGTTCTTTCTCTGTTTACGGTCTTCCGATGGTCCTGTGCATTTGCTTTTCACTGGTAGATCTCTGTGTAACTTCCACATCTGCAGCAAGTCCCCAAATACGTACAGAATCTGCGGTCTGAAGCATAACGAAATATTGATTCTGACCGGCTAGCTCCCCCTGGGACATACCTGGGATGGCCACCTGGCCACCAGGAGCCCAGCGTCCTGGGGAATCCAGAGCATTCTTAGTCACTAAGATTTTCCTTCAGGTTTTCCTGTCAGTTTGTTGATCTTCCAGTGCTGGAGAAAGGTTGGTGTGACAATACCTCTTGCTTCTAAAGAATGTATTCTTATAAAAACTGCAGGATTTTTATTTTTTCTTAAAAACACTACCTGATGCTCTCCTTGTCCATAGCGATCGTGGGCGTGTTAGGGATTTCTTCCCTCAGTATTACCGCATTTGTGAGTGTGGCCCTTCCCGTTGCCTTCCAGCTCCAGGTTCTGTAGCTTTGGCGGCAGCTAAGGGTCTGGGCGGTTGCCCATGAGTTACCCGTGTCTCTGCTGTTCGTTCAAGACATGCTCTACAAAGTTCATCTCTGCACACACTTCCCCCCGTCAAACTCTTTTTTCCTTCCTCTGCTACAAAGGTGTTTGTGATTCCTGACCCTGGGAACCCGAGAAGCTGCGACCCACAGGGAGAGAATCCTAACATCTGGTGGTCTGGTTCAGCATTGTACAAATTAGAGCCTTTGATGGGCGGCTCACCCAGCGGCTAAAATTGTCTTTAAAGAACACCCTGAGCCTTCCTAAATAACCAGTACAGATGTTCTCTCTGGGTCACCAGGCGACTCGGGTCCTTCCCAGTTCCCTGCTCTGAAGCATACCTCAACGCAGAACCACAGAATCTCTGCAATGGAAGTGCCCTGCGTCTAACTCTGCTGGCGTTGAACAGATAGTTGCTGCAGACAGACGGGGTTTCTAAGCAGTGGGTTCAGGCGCTACCGACATGATGGATGCGTTCTTCAGAGTGGCAATACCTCTTACGAACTTAGGGCAGGAAGCAATACTTCAGAATTGAATGTGTGTAAATAGTTGCTTTGAGTTGCAATTTTCTTCTTGGCCCCAGGTCAGATCAAATTATAGAGATATATATATCATAAACAAGCACATAATTTTATCCAATGCAAACAAGTGTAGAGCATCAGTTATGAAACCCTTAAGTAGTTTGAAGAGTCGCACAGATTATGCAACACCTGCACACGACTCCAATAACACTGACTTCACTGGTGGAGACAACACCTGCACATTTGCACATGACATTGAGAGCCAAAGGGCCTTTGCTTCCCATTACGTGGGCTGTAATAATTTGTAGTTTCCAAAGATCCGTCTGCATTTGCATTTCTAGGTTTTTGATTTAAGCATTTTTTGGTTGGTTGTTTTGGAAAATCACATCATGCCTAGGATCTGAAATTAAATTAGCAAGAACCAACTGTTTGCTTTTTCCATCTTTCCTTTGCTCTGCTCTTTTTCAATTGTTAATTCTAAGAATTTCAAAATGCATCCACTGAAGAAATGGACATTAAAGTATTCTAAAATCTAAATATCGGACGCCTGGTATTTTCTCATTGAAAAGATCAGCACCCTCCAGAGCTTAGGACATCCTCATTTCCTGCAATTCGTGGCTGAAATAGCAGGAGGATTTACTTTTCATTCACATCGTGACTTTGAAAACAAGGCAACTAAAGGAAACGCTATTTGTGTGTGTGTGTGTGTGTGTGTGTGTGTGAGTGTGTGTGTGTGTTTTAATGGACATATTTGCTATGGTTAACTTTGGTTGAGAAGTATTTATTTTTACATGGAACTTTTTAAAAAGTAGTAGGTTGCAAGGCAAGTTTTGCTTGCAACGATTTATTATTAGGCCTTCTAAATCGTTTTTCCTTCAACGTCTTAAGAGGCGGAATTGACTGAGAAAACCAAGTAAATTTCTGAAAAGATGCGCCCACGTGGCCTCTCCCTGGTAGAGTTCCTGCCCGCATCATGGGGAGATCACAAAACCCCTTTCAGAATCTGTTCAGAGGCACAGAACGTCTTCGCAGAACAATACACATGCCATTTGTACATTTCCTGGCTTCACCACACCTCCACATCTGGAGCCAAGCTATGGGTTTGCTGGGCTTTAGAGCCTTTCCCCTAAAGGGTTTCTCTCGGTGAGTCCAGTAATTAGGAGCAACTTCAGAGCACAAGATCGTCCTGTAGACTCAGTGAAGGGAGACGAAGATACGGTCCCCAGTCCTTGCTCATCAGTTCACAGGGATCAAGCTTCTAGAGCCAGCAAGGACACTACTCGTTGATGAAGGCGCTCCTTCTTCCTGAGTCTGTGCTGCAGGCATCCTTAGGAACTTTCCAGGGGACAGTGAATAGTGCTCTTTGCTGCACTGAAGGTCTCGTAGGAATGTGGGTTTCCTAGAAAGGGCTCCCCGGGCACTTAGAGGATCTTTCAGTCAAGAAAGGCAGCCTCTGATTTTGGCAGTAAGCCTCAGAACTCATCATTTGTGATTTCTCTTTCGTCTGAAATCTCTTTCACACGTGGTTGCTTTTCTCTGCTGTGGGAATCTGTGTGGTGGCCACCTGGAATAGATCCCAAATACCAGGAAAAGGAAGCTACTGGGGAGAGAGATAAGTGAGAGGAAGTGATTGAGAAAAAGGACACACTTGCACACCGTATGCTTGTAAATTTAAAATCTTCCCAAGTGTCTATTTTTATACAGTTCCTTTGTAAAAATTGTTTTTTTTAATAACATGACTCCAAAGAATTGTTGCTGTGTATTGGAGTATTTAAGCCTGGGGAATTCTCCTATTCCTGCTGGGCCTGAGAGTCGGAAGGAGAAGTGAATTAAGCAATCGTGTATTGAGCAATCTGAGCGCCTTGTGAAATCTCAGTGATCAACAGCACCGATTCTTACCCCTTTTTTGGCTCACAGAGCCTTTGATAATTTGATGAAAGTCGTGGCTCCTTTCTCCAGAAAAAAATGCACATAAAAATAAATCCTCTTATTGCATACAATCTCAGGAGTTCCTGGGTCCAAATAAAGTACCCCCAACCTGCAATAACTAGAGGAATGAGAATTTTTTATTATAACTATCTATACATGAGCTTTCCAAGCATTTCTGGACTCTCGGGAACTTGATTAATCGTGTTAATGCTGCTTATTTATATATGCATTTCCAATCAAAATTATATTTTAGAGCTTAAGTCTGAATTATCTAAATATATTTGAAGAGCCAAAGAACTTTTCAATATATAAACACAAAGTTAGTCCAGTTCTTTCCAACAGATGAATAAATTCAGCCAGTATTTACTGAGTACCTACTATGTGCCAAATGATGCCAAAGCTCCCTGCGTTGAGGGGGTTAATTTTGCTGTGATACTTGAGAATCTTTGAGGAATAACTGTGGTTAGAAACTGTATTTCTCATGATGGCTTTACCATTAGGAATTCCACCAGTCACTGAAGGAATTTCGAGATATCTGAGGTCGCATAGTGACATCCCTCTCTCTATTGACATTTCACAACAGTGGCTCCTTAGTGTCATCTGTAACCCACTAGTGATTGTTTTCATGTTCATGGTCTTATGGAGTATTCAGTCTCTCAAGAAAGAGCAACAGATGAGAATCGTTCAGAGAAAACCGCTTCGCCAATACTGGTCCCTCAGTGAAGCAGGGCCCCTCCACACGCTGCCCATGAGGTCATATGTTCAGTGTTCAACAATCACACTGTAAAACAACCCTCCCCTGATGGCGATTGGGGTCCCAGCACAAGGGTCTGAGAGCTGGCAGAACAAGGCACTGGCTTGGACTGATTTGGATGGTGGGAGCTTTTCAGGAATGACACCCCCCAGCAGAGCGTCTCCTGCACTGTCCGAGAGAAGTGCTGGTGGTTTGAGGACCAGACGTCTGGGCTGATCCCATCTCTGCCCTGTGCCCACTAGTGAGGCGAGGCAGCCGTCTTCTGAAAGAGCTGCTCTTTTTCTTCCTCTGACCTTCTTGATCTCAGCAAACAAAATTCTTGCTCTCTAGGTTGGAAGGGCAATGAGTGGTATCAGAGAGGAGGACTTGTTTGAACTTGTCCATGTGATCTGGGGAAAGGAAGCAGAATGGGAAGGGGAGTGATATAGGCTAGCACCTCCGCTTGGACTCCCTGGGGTGTAGATGTCCTTGTGCCCAAGGCAAACCTCAACAGCTCACCGAGCCCTTCTTCTCCCCAGCTTCCCAGCCTCTGAGATCTCCAGAACTGCCCTCCGGCAGGTATTCCAACCAAAGACCAGCCTGCCCCTATTCTGGCCTCTGTCTCATGGACGGCCATGCCTCTCCAAGGACATATGTCCCTCCACTCTACCTGTGGCCCCCACCCCCATGCCACTATTTTTGACCTCCCAAGTAGGTCTTAGTGCCATGCCATCCTCACTCCCTAACTTCAGGAATATAGATAAACTCACAGCAACACGATGAGCAGGCACTTTATTGATTTAAAGAGAGTAACTCTTTAGCCGCTTAATTCACTTCTCACATAGACAAATATGCCTCTACACGTAAAGTAGTCTCCTGTTATGTCATAGTTTTCCGCCAAGGAACTCAAAACACCTGGGACCCCGTTTGCCCCATGATGCCTCATTGAAGTAGGTAGGCAGAGGTGTTCTTTCTGTAGAGTATTGTTGCCCACGATCCCCAGCTACACAGCCGTGTGCCAAATCCAAACAATCTAATGTCTTGGCCTCCCCCTTCCTTTGCAAAGAAAGAACAAAGAATCCAGGTGGTGGAGCAGGACACTGTGTATTTAACTGGTGAGATTAGACAGTAGATCAACAAGGTAAAACACCTCTTCTCTCCCTCTCCCCTTCTTTTTGTAAGACTGGCTACTTGAATTATATGTGGAATATTTAAGTTTTTATCTAGTGTATGCTTAGAATGGAGAAGTTTTAAAATTATTCAAGTGTCCATATGGACTTGGTGTCCATGTGCTCACCAAAACCATCAAGGAACTGAGGCAAAGTTTGCAACACGTCAGTACCTTCAGAAAGATCCATGTGAAACACAGATTGCATTGGTGTCCTGTACTTCTTTTAATGTAACAGAGGTAGACCAGGTACCTTTAACACAAAAATCAGGTTCTTTCCCAACTATTGATTACACAATAAATTCTTATATATAATATTAGGTCGTCTTTAAAATGCCCTCATCATATATCTGTACATCTGCGGTATTTCAGAGAAGTGTTAGAGAGATGGAAAGAAAAAACTAAATATTACTTGGCCATTTAACTTGAAATATCACAGAATATAATTTGCCGTTTCCACATCAATTTGGGGATCTTGGGTAAAAAACTGACTTTGGTGATTGTTTACAAAGAACTGAGGAAGCCAACTGTTTACTTTTTAGAAGCAAGTCTTCCAAGATGGTGGGTTGGTGGAACTTTTCTTTGGTGATTTTGGTTTGCCAGAACGACCCCTCTTCTTCCTCAAGAGGAAACACTTCTAACGGCATCACAGAGACGTTTAGAATGTTCATTTCATACAGAAGAATATAGCTGAATATTGTCTTTGGTCTCCTATGTCTATTTTTAATTGCACACTGAGTTGTACTTTCCAAAAATTTCAGTCAAGGACTTCCATAGACTTCTAAAGATCCTAAGCTACCATGATACCCGGAGAACATTTGGGTTTGTTTGTTTAACATTGAAAAATGTAATTTATATGAACTTTCAGGAAATTAGTTCAATTAAAACCTGAGAAGATAAGGTAAAACTATTTACCAAAAAAAGAGAGAGAGAGATTTGAAGCAGTTATCCAGATAATTTAGGATAAAAGCATCCTTTTTCCTAAAATATTTCTAATGAGACAAAATGAATTTATTGCATGAATCACATGGATAGTGATCCAAATTCTTCCATTCACCTTTCTTATGGAACCAGTACAACGGGCTACTTCTAGCCTTTCGACATCTCATTTCCAAATTTCCTCATCTCCTTCTTCACCTGTCCGTTTTATTGGCAGAATAACAGGCTCAGACCTGCGTACTTTGAGAGAAAACCTAGTGTGTCCTAGCGAACCAGCCATTCAGTAGTTACTGGAACTCCAAAATGGTTTGCCTGTGTTCCCGACCAGTGGCTCTGTCACTGCTCCAAACACAAGCCCTCTGGCATCCTGCCCACAGCAACAGCCCGTGGGACTTCGAGCAGGAGTTCTGCCAGTGCCGGTGAGGACGTTCCACGTGCCCTGAGACGGTGAGGAGACTGTCTCTGCCTTCCTCTAGCTCCTCTGAAGTGCAAGAAGGCAGCCTCTGAGCACCCACAAACGGTGCCAACCCCCTCCTGCTGCCTCGTTGGCTTCTTGGTGACCTCCGGTGACCTTCATGTCCTGCTTGTGACACTTTTCCTGGTCCATACCTCATGCACTGGCCCAGCTTGAGACGCTTCAAGCCCCTCAGCATAAACTGCCACCAGGTCCTGGGCAAGCCTCTGGCACCCACTGCCCTTCAGAAAATCATCTGCAAGTCCCTTCTGATTTTAGCCCCAAGAGGCTGCCAGAACAGCTAGCTGAGAGTT